ATTTTCTGAAACTTCCTAAGAGACTGTGAGGCAGAACCACCCTGCTAAGCTGACCCTCAGAAACTGTGTGGAAGGATATATGTTGTTTTAGGAAGCTAAATTTTGTGGTAATATGTTAAAAGACAGATAACAGAGTCACAATTTTTACAAGGCTTTCAGTGTAAAAGAATAAGAGATGGGAGCAAAAAGTCACAGTAAAAATCTTGCAATGCTAAGTTGAGTTGGATATATCAATGTGGATTTTTGAAAAGAAAAAAAAGTGGTATTTCCTAGGTTTGCCTTCTGAAAAGGCCCAGAAGCAGTAATTCAACAGCAATGAACATATTCAATGACCAGAAAATGGTTTCTAAATACTACTTCCTAGCAAGAAGAATCAGGGTTCCTTGAAGGAATACTGATTCAGGTCTGGGGCTAGAAAGATTAGCCTGAGACACCTTATTTGTAGCAGAAAATAAGGAAGCTGTCAGAACATAAGGAAGCTACCAAAAACAAATTAGTACCAAAATGATACAGGAGCCAATCTGAAGGGATTGCCATTTATTAAAGACAAGACAATGGGAGCGGCAAAAATAATTGAGTGAAACACAATAAACATATAAAAGTACATGAAAATCCATTTGTAATTTTTTAAAAATAAAAGGGAGAGCTCCACTCATTCTTAAAAAAAAAATAACCCAAAAACAATTTCACTGAACTCTACTGCAAGTAACAAGGGCACCAACTCCTCACTGAAAATCAGTATTTTGGTCAATTTTAAGCACTTAAACCTAAGCATTTATCCTTACTTTTCTGCACAAACTATTTCAGGGTAACTAAATAGCCCTAGTTGAAAAGAACTGTCCCTTACAGAATGAATTCAAGAAATCATCGTTTTCAAACTTGTAATTGCAGTTATTTTCAAAGTATGGTCCTAGATTAAGAGCATCACCTGGGAACTGATTTTATAAATTGCAGCACTAGAAATGTAAATTCTCAGGCTATGTCCCAAATCCACTGAATTGTAAACTCTGGGGATGGGGCTAAGTAATCTGTGTTTTTAACAAACTTTACAAGTAATTCTGATGCATACTAAAATTTGAGAAATACAGCCCTAATTTAAAAAATGATGTTAATCATCAATCATCAATGAATTACATGAAAGATTAATAGAAAACTTTATAATTGGGGAGGGGAGAATCAGGCTATGACCACCTGAGCCTTTAACCAATCCGGCTACCTAAGAAAAATTTCCATAATTTTAAAAGATAGACACTAAGCATGGAGGTATGAAATGGTATGATGGCTGGGATTTGTTTTAAATACTTAAGCAAAGAAACAAATCACAGTTGAAGTAAATATGACAAAATCTCAATAGGAATGATGGACAAAGCCAGTATCTACTCACTTCCTACATTCTTAGCATAGCACGTATTCACAGCTGATGTTCTTCTTGGGTTGCCTGGTCTATCTTATTAGAAATACTGCTATAAAACTAAGATACCCTCAGAATATAATTTCTCCTCTATTAAAATTACAGTGCCTCCTGAAGCTAAAGTACACTTCTCACATCAGAGATATACTGTAGTGCTTTCTCTGACTGCAAGAATCTTTTATATTTTAACATAAAAACATTCCCATTGCATTGTTTCAAAAAAAAAAAAATCATTAAAATAGCAACACCAGGTAGCAACATATCAACATCTTAACATTGACCTCATTCAAAGAGACATACACACACAAAAAAACTTTTTCTTCCCTGAATTTTTCAAGCCTTCAGCATAAGATTAATCCTATAACTAGACAACTTCATTATCTAAGGCAGAGTTCTTCCTATACCTAAGATAAAGGATATCATATGTGTAAAAACAAACAAAAACCATTAAAAGTTTTAATTATTGGGAGGTGGAAAAAATGGCATAGATGATACAGGCTTTGTTCATCCCTCTTGCAACCAAATCAAAGCTGTGACAGAAACACGGAGCTAAGAGCAAGCAAGGTCGCCTGGGAATATAGACGAACAGAAGCCCTACGACGAGGGAGAGAAATAAAAAATCACCCTGCAATGGCAGAAGGTAGGATGGGGCGAGGATGCTAGGCTGCCTGGTTTGAGCGGCTGAGTGGGACAGAGGCTGTGGCAGTTGCAGATGCCTCTTAAAGGGGCTGTGTCCACAACCAGACTTTCATGCTGATGGTCCTGCTTGTCCCGAGCACCAGCACCGGGGGATACCAAGGACTTACAGGGGGACACTGAGTTGTTGGAGCAAGGGCTGGAGGCGAGGCTCTCTCCTGGGCAGAAGTACTGGAGGTATCCACTGTCCTTTGTGGAGCCCTCCCCACTCCCAATGTGTGGACACGGTGCTCTGCCATAGCTGAGCCGTCATCAAACTGGGTGAAAGAGGTTGCTCTGCCCAGAGGATTCCCTGAAACTCCACCTCCCTCAACTCACAGCCCCGCCCAAGCCACATTCAGTTGTGTCCTCGGGGAGTCCTGTGCTCCTTGTTGAGCCAACTCCAAGACTCAAACTGTTGGCAGCTAACCTCAGTTTCTGGAGTGGCCTCTTGAGGCAACTGTAAGCACAGCATCTGTGGATTGCTTGCTGAATCTTAACAGGTAGCCCTGGAAGGACACAGGCTAGAGCTAAACTTGGCCTAGAGCTGAACCCCTCTCAAGACTGTGCCACTGGACACCTACTACACAAAGCCACGCTAATAAGACAGGAGACTTAGGAGCTTTTCTTATTAACAGATGTGAGTCACAAAAAGGCAGCCAAGTGGGAAAACAAGCAGAAACCATATTAGAGAACAGAGATCCAGGAATAATAGAGTCAAGCAATTTAACAGATGTGGAGTTCAAAACACTGGTTATAAAGATGCTCTAATGACCTTAGAAGGGTATATGACTCAGTGAGAACTTAAAGAGATAAAAAACATAAAAATGAAAATGGAAATTGTAAAAAGGAACCAGTCAGAAATGAAGAACACATTATCTGAAATGAAGAGTATATTAGAGGGAATCTGAACAGAGTGGATGAAGAAGAGGATCGAAGCACCAATAGAGAGGATGGGAAAGCCAAGGGCACTCAACCAGAAAGGCAAGATAAAAGAAGCCGAGATTATAATAATAATTTAAGAAGCCTATGGGACACAATTTAATGTAAAAATATCCATTTAGTAGGGCTACCTGAAGGAAAACAAGAAGTTGAAGAGCTATTTGAAGAAATAATGATGGAAAACACCCCTAATCTGGTGAAGGAAACAGACATACAACCCCAAGAAGTTCAGAGTGTCCCAAAAAGATGAACCCCAAAAGGCCCATACCAAGGCACATTATAATTAAAATGTCAAAGGTTAAATACAAAGAGAGAATCTTAAAAGCAGCAAGAGAAAAGCAGTTAGTTACCTACAAGGGCGCACCTGTAAGACTGGCAGCTGATTTCTCAAAAGAAACTAATTAGGACAGAAGGGCTTGGCACAAAATATTCAACATGATGAAAACCCAGAATACTTTAACCAGTAAAGCTATGATTTAGAGTTGAAGGACAGATAAAGAGCTTCTCAGACAAAAATAAGCTAAAGGAATTTATCAACACCAAGCCAGTATTATAGGAAATGTTGGAAAGACTTCTTTAAAGAAGAAAAAACATGTATCAAAAACATGAAAAAAGAATGGTAATAATTACATTCCTATCAACAAGTACCTCAGATGGAAAAGAATTAAGTGCTCCAACTAAAAGATAGAGTGGCTGAATGAATAAGAAAACAAGACCTATATACGTGCTGCCTACAAGAGACTCACTTCAGATTAAAAGACACACACAGACTAAAAGAAAGAGGATGGAAAAAGATATTGCCTTGATGGATCTAGAGGGTAATACACTGAATGAAGTAAATTAGATAAAGACAAATATCACAAGATTTCACATACATGTGTACGCTAAAGAACAAAATCATCAACAACAACAACAAAAGCAGAAATAAACTCAGAGATATAGAGAATATTTTGAGAGCTACCAGATGGAAAGGGGATTTGGGAGGATCGAAAAGGAGCAAAGCGATTAAGAAGGACAAATGAATAGTTCCAAAATGGACATGAAGATATAAAGTATAGCATAAGAAAATAGTTAACAATGTCGTAATACATATGTAAGGGGGGAAGAGGGGCACTAAATTTAGTGGGGTGATCACTTTGTGGGTTATATAGATCTTTAATCACTATGGTATACAATTGAAACTAATATATTATTGTATACCAACTATAATTTAAAAAAAAAAACGCACTGAATTATACAATGTAAATACAAGCAACTAATTATCTATTGTATTTCAATAAAGCTGGGGAAAAATTTTTTTAATTATTAACACCCACAAAATTATGATTACTTCAAACACTGAAGAAAGCTTATTAATGTAAGAAGTGAAATTTTTATGTCAGGAGGATATTAGGCATTGAGAAATGTCTTTTTTATACAAATCATTCAACTTTTTATTGTTTCTCAATAAAATGATAGTAATTAATTGTTCCCAATTACCTGAACAGCAAAAAAAAGGGAACTCTTTAGCAGAGAGATTTCCTTTAAATCTTTTTTTCTATAAAGTCTCTTTAATCACACAAACATAGAATACTAGATTATAAAATACTTATTTTAAATATGAGGAAACATCCCTCTAGTAGGATTTTGATGGTTTCTAAAGTGAGCTGCCCTCTGCTTTAAAAGAAATTCTGGATTTTGGGGGGTGGATTGTACATTATAAAGTGAGAAATCTGGGACCTTGGTAAATTAACTTAGCAAACCTTCCCCTTCAAATTTAACACTGAAAACTTCAAAATGCAACTACTGTTTTAAATATTCTGAACAATCATAACTATTTCTCCCCGTTTTTGTTTACAAAAATGCATGTGACTACCTTATGTTGGTCATCAAAAGTCAAAGCTGAACCACAAATATTTCTTCATTACAAATCAAGTTTCTTAATTCATGCAGCATGCAGACTACAGGCAAACACAGGCAGGATTATTCTCACCTTTACCTGCTCTATATGTCTTGGCTTGATTCACTGGCATGGGCGTCATAGGTATAGGATATAAAGGCTTGAGGAATTAAAAAAAATGATGATTAGCCTCTCAAGAAAATAAGAACATATTTTACCACTCTCTCTTAGTTGTATATTGCTAGAGAGCTAGCTCTGTGGCCTCCTGATTCTGAGTCATTAAAAAATAAAATCACATCCATAGCTAAAAAGACAAATCCCAAACTACAATAAATCTAAAACATCTCTCTCACCAGAACATATTCTCAGACTTAGGTCTTTATATTAACCACACTACTGCCATGCCTCCCCTTATCAAATACTTGTATACTCACTGCCTCAAGTCACCACATATCTACGGAATACTTGAAGTCAAATACAAATAGCTAAGAAGGGTGAATAGATATCAAATTTTATGACTTACTTGCACGCCTGGGCTCACTGGGACTGGATACATCATATTTGGTGCAAAACAAACAGGCTGAGTATAAACTGGAGTTGGCTGCTGATGACCCACCATAGATGGGCTAGGTTGTGCTTGAGGACGAGGCGAAGTTGGGGTGGTAGAAGGCTTTGGCTACAAAAACAAAAGTAACTATCTTAAGGTGAAAAGCTAACTATTACTGCAATTTGAGGACTGATTTTCTAAGTTTTACTTTTTTTAATGAGTCTCTTTTAACAGGGAAAAAAAACTTACCAAAATAACTTTCACATGTTTCAAATAAAAGAAAAAATACTTTGGTAGAAAGTTAAAGTAAAATTTTGTCAATTAATCAATAATACTATTAAAAATAGTAGTAGTGACTTTTAAAGAACTGGAGTACTTTAAAAAGATTAAAAAATAAATTAATCTTCTTACAAACTCAGTGGAATAACAATAACAGTGTCATCTATGAATCTGAGAGCCTAGCTAGCTAACCATTTTCAAATTCTTAAAAAGACTGAAAGATTTGTCCTAGCTCACATCTAACTGAAGACAAAACAAGGATCTTTTCTATGCCTCAAAAATATTCATTAATGACTATAAGAAAAAAGGAACTTAAAAGCATATTTTAACTGAATTTAGATGTTAGGTATGAGAAAAAGGAATATTACTACTAATAATAAATTTATTTCTTGAGAGACTAGATTACTTCAAAGAGGAAATAAACTTACCTGAGAAAAAGAACGAGGGTTGAACTCCTTTGCATTGGGATTCAATGTTGATTTCCTTACTTGCCTAAACCAGAACAAAAATATAAAGGGCAGTGAAACCTGCATGAAACTTATGTTTCTCTAAAGTCTTCTATACCTGACAGGTTTTTTTTTAAATCGCTAAACATATAGTACTTTTAAACAATTCTCACTAGAAGATCATTGATCCTCTTCATTAGAACACACACACACATCTGTATTTCCCACTCAATCTAATGAAGACTGGCCAAAAAAGGACAAATTATTTTTAAAAGCATAATATGTAATACTTCTCTCAAAGGCAATTAACAAATACTTTAAGTGAAAAGACAGTAGCCCCTTATAAAATAACCTTAAAAGCGATCCTTAATACACTAATTTTCTAGCATGCAGTATTTTTTAATATGACAGTGTTTCCTACATGGCATACCTTGGGAAAAAGTATGACTAAAAAAAAAGTTTTGTCTCAAATCAAGAATAAGCATTCTCCAACTTATCAACACACTGCATTCCGACGGAACCCAGAACAAATAAAGCAATGGTGCTGAGGTGAGTCTGAGGCTAGACTATATAGTCCATTGAATTGGTAATATATTGGACATACAGAATTAAGTCTACCTTAAAAAATCTAACCATTAACTAAAACATTGTTTCTCGTGGAAAATATGTTAAATTCCACGTAGAGGAACCAGATACTTCTCTCTCTTGATGGTAGTGGCAGTTTTTAATCCTAGCGGCACAGCCAGGAGATCGATAATGACCAACATTCAGGGGATATAGGTCGCAAAATCCATTAATTTTTCAATCCCCTGTACATTTACAGAAAAAGGCTTTCTTAATTTATGCCCCCCCCTTTTTTCGCCATGGGGTGCAAAAATAGGGGAGGGAAGAAGAGTATAGGGTACAATGACCTAATTTACTTAAGATGTCATTTGTTTAGACCAGTTATTTCTAAGTTGAGAACTACTTATAAAACCATTTAAAAGTCCAGATATTCTTGAATTAGAAAGCTCTGGACACCTTAGGAAAAAAGTAAAGGCATGTGTTGAATGCTAGGTTTACTCACTCAGCTGCGTCTTTCTTCTCTTCTTTATCATCTTTCTCTTGTTTACATCCTGGACTGGAAGTCTGAACCCCTTGGGATGTGACTTCAGGTCCCCTCTTGTGCTCCGTGTTACTGAGGATTGAGGGGGAAATGCTGGGGCTATTCGGCTTGCTGCTGCCACTGGTGCAATTGCTGCTGCTATTTTCAATGAAAGAATCCTTGGCATTTGGTTCAATTTTGTCTTTGATCAAATCTCTTGATTTTTCTCCCTCTCTATTTTTGTTTAGCAGTTGATCCATAGATTCAGAAGTAGAACTCGGCTGTAACTAAAAAAAGGAAATAATTATACTTAAATATTTCAAGTAACTCTAGTAATCAGTTTTCTCCATGAGCAGAAGCAAACTAATATTTGTAAGCACAAACTATATCGAATAAAGCCTTTTCACACTTTAAGAGTAACATCTTTATATAGGCGACAATAACGGATTGTCTATGCAACACGGCCATAGTCACCTAAGTACTCAAATGTCCTAACCTCTGAAGTTAAATATTTACTGAGTGCCTACCATATGTCAGAAACTGTGCCTGCCTGGGTATGGAAAATACAAAATTGTTACTATCCTCCCAAAGCTTACCCTCTGGGTGAGATCATACACAACAAAATGAGGTAAATGTGAAGACATCCTGTAGGAAAAAGTAACATAGGAAGAGAAGGCTGGCTTCTCAATGGGAGTGTCATTTAGTCTAAAGTGTGAAAGATGTTTAGGAAAGGGGATGTTTGGAAAAGAGAATGATCTAGGCAAAAGAATCAGCATGTTTAAAAATTCAAGGG